CCAATAATATCAATGACTTTCACTTGCAATCAATAAAGCCTTAATTGTTTCAAGTGGTCTGCGATTATATGTAATCTTAAGTAATTGTTTAAATAAATAAGCTTATTATTAAGTTTAGTTGTATACAGGATAAGACAAACAACCTATAAATACGTGTTATATGAAAATATTAAATGATAAAAATTGATATATTTTATGTATAAATAAATATTAATATATTATCTTTGAGATTGGATTGGATATTATGAGTACTTAATTAAATATTTATCTAATATTGTACCATAATTTCTTACGGTGAGTACTTTATACTTATGAAAGATACCGGTATATTTATAACAGTTTTATAATTACTTAAGTAATTATAAGTGATTTGTTATTGAGTTTTATTTTATTTATTAATAACAAAACTATTTATTTTTGCAAAAAAAATTCAGTCACGCAATTTTAAATTCAAAATAATTTTACATAGATTTTAAAAACAGATTAAAATTTAATTAAACAAAATATAATCGTTAAAGCAAAATAAACACTATAGTTAAACAGCGGGACAATAGGATATGCCGTTGTGCTCCTGGGGTTTGAGTGGTGCCAATCGCCAGTACCGGCACCGCAACACACGGGCACCGGCTTTGGGCTGTCGTTCGCGGGTAAATATGCCCTTACGGTTGCCCACCACTCGGTCTGTGCCACTACTACCATGCTCTAATGTTCAATAAAGTAAACATAAATTATAATAATGATGATGATAATTATCATGTGACAATAAATTGATCCATACTCTGGTCGGTCATAAAGTCGGCAAAGTTCCAGATGTGTTCGCCCACAAAGTAACCCTCGGCTATTAGCTTATCAAATGACTTGTGATACTCCATCATAAACTCGGACTCAAACTCCTCGGTAAACACATAGGACGGGTCCTTTTGGGTCATAAAACAGGATCATATGTAAAACATAAATTGAATTACAATGTTTATGTTTAATTAATAAGATTAAAAAGGTTTTGGTGCAATTTTAAGACTAGCAAAATGCTAGTTAAAAATAGTGAATACTGCAATTAATTTATCTAGAGCAAACTGTATGCAAATTAATAAAGTTAACAAAATTACCATGTGCAAACCGGCCAGAGTGTCGGCGCCGTACTCGGAGATCATGAGGGGTTTGGCAAACGTTTTATGCCATTGCCGTAAATTAGTGGTCAATTGCAAGTCAATCACTTGTGTGTAACCGGTGTCCGAATACCAGCCGTAATACCTATTGATCATCAATACGTTAAAATAGTGAATACTGCAATTAATTTATCTAGAGCAAACTGTATGCAAATTAATAAAGTTAACAAAATTACCATGTGCAAACCGGCCAGAGTGTCGGCGCCGTACTCCGAGATCATAAGCGGTTTGGCAAAAGTTTTATGCCATTGCCGTAAATTAGTGGTCAATTGCAAGTCAATCACTTGTGTGTAACCGGTGTCCGAATACCAGCCGTAATACCTATTGATCATCAATACGTCCAAAAACTGCGCCATTTTGTCATTACTGAAGTCCTTATTAATGGCGGCCGTAATCGGACGGCTCTTATCTAGACTCCGGGCGTGAGTCGAGATAACCCGGAAGTACTCTTCAGCCTCCGCTTTGTCCGACTGAGGCTCGTTGGCAATGGACCACATGACCACCGATGGCCGGTTTTTATCACGTGCTATCATTTCGGTGATAGTTTGTAAGTGTTGTTTCTGTAAGACATCAGTGAAGGCGCTCAGGGCTACCGCCGGGCACTCGTCGATCACCACAATTCCCTGTTCGTCGCACATATCCATCAACTCTTCGGAGTAGGGGTAGTGTGAGGTGCGGAATGAGTTGGCGCCGATCCATTTGATCAGGTTCATGTCTTTGGCTATGAACGCCAGGTCCAGCCCTTTGCCCCTCACCTAATGGTTATGATAAATAAAAGTTGCAATTTATTTAATAATTAGTAGACTTAATACATGTATATAAAAGTGTGTATAAACTATACATACGTTCGCGTCTTCATGTTTACCAAAGCCTCGGAAGTAAAAAGGTTTGCCATTAATGAGAACCTCCTTATCAGTGGCCCTAACCGTACGGATGCCGACTCTCTGGTAGTAAACATCGGCGGTCTTACCGCTGGCCACGAGAGACACCCGTAATGTATAGAGATATCCCGGGTTAGAGTTCGTAGTGTAGGGCCACCACAATATGGCGTTCGGTATTGTTATGGAACCCGAATATCCTTTAGCTTCGGCTACTTTTTTGCCGCTTTTGTCCATCACTTCCACAACACATTCAGCCGCCGATGTCTTCACGCTATGACTGATCTCATAGTGAATAACACCAGTCGTCGAGTCCTTGATATCAGTGGTGACTGCGATGTCGTCGATGTGGTCGACGGGGAGTGCGTATAGCGAGACGTGTCGGTGAATACCCGCGTAATTCATAAAATCAAAGTTAGTTGTGGTCTCGTAGAAGCCTTTTGGGAACAGTTGTGTGTCGTTCTTGTAAGTGATGGTCCCCTGAGGGACAGTACTCGGCGTCAGTATGTTATTCAGAGCAACAGTTATGCGATTATTGGCCCCAAAGTTCAAGTGTTTGGTGACGTCCGCAGCGAAGGGTAAGTGTCCGCCGATATGTCTCACGACTTCCACTCCATTCACGTATACTATGGACTCGTAGTGAGCGCTACCGAAGTGTAGGATTACGACCAGTGATGGGTCAGACCAGTCGTCGGTGACGAAGAAGTTCCTGTCATACCAGACCCAACCCGCGTAGTCCCGGATGAATCGGCTTTGGGTGATGTCGTTAAAACTGGACGGCACCGGCATTGGTATCACTTCACCCCTCTGTATGTATTACCATGTTTTTTGATTATATTAAATATAACTAATTCTATCATAATTAAAGTGATTTACATCTAATTATACTACTCTCTCTCTCTCTCTCTCTCTCTCTCTCTCTCTCTCTCTCTC